TTCATCGTAAATCTTCTGGTTTACTCAAGAGGCTTCAGAAACAAGTCGAGTCTTTTGAAAGAAAATAAATAGTTTGAATATTTACTGCTTGAATCCGAACATCCTAGGGATTAAAAATTTAATACATTCTTTGGGTTTAAAGCCAGTAACTGTAAAAATGTGATACAATCAATATTTTCGGGTTATTAGTCCGGTTTGTGCGCATCCGAAGCTAACGTACCTCCGAATATGCTAGCCATAATGCTATTGAAACGTCAGGGGTAGTACATTCCGACGCCCCGGTCTAATAATTATAATAACAGGTTTGAAAATCTTAAGCGATCCAACCGAAAATACGATCAGAAATAAAATCATGCCAACATTAAGAAAAATGAAAAAGTTGCAGCTATCCCCTCCCTATAGCCCACAAAGTTTAACTTTTAAATTTCAGTTTATTTGAATTAGGTGAGTAGTAGCAAATAAGAGAGCACTTTTTGCGGAACTAGCATCGAAATTTAAAACGTTTTTGTCGAAAAGTGCTTTGGCAGCCTTTGCCAGAAAAATCACAATTTGATTTTGATGCGAACGTAAATAAATGTGAGGAAGTAACCGTACAAATACAAATTCACTTTGCTAAACCTAAGGACAGTTTCTATTTTCAGAGTTCTTGAAGAAAATGATCAAAGAAAGCCAAATAAATATAATTGTTTCTCAAGTAATTTGGACAAAACATTCCGCTAACTTTCTCCTCACAGTTTAGCTTTAATAGTCGCAATTTCCGTAGAGCAAATCACTATAGAGAATGAGAAATCTTCTAATATTAAACTAATCACAGATGAAAAGTAAAATTAATCCAAACTATAATACAATGATCAGTTCGATATTAATTTCCCTGTGAAGCTGGTGCATCCAAGCCACTTCTCAATCCGCTTTAATGCTCAATTCAGGTAAACTTTTAGCTCCTAATGGTTAGGTCTCAAAATGCCCCTTTACCCTGGATTAGTTCGATTATGTCATTAGCTTTCATAAAGTTCCTCACATAGCTGCAGGTCCCGATAGTAGCCCCGAATGCGATTAACTTCGATCCTATTATTAACCGTCTAAAAATGTAAATCGTGTTAAACTTGAACTTCAATAACTGAATAGAGGGTTAATATTCGACTAGGACACGTGCATTTAACATGACCAATAATATTTTAGCAACTGCATAAGGAAATATGGCTCAGTTTGATTTATAATTGCTTTTGCTAACATTCGGTAGTTATTTACCAAAATCCTTAGCTGCTCTTATCTATAATACGTATCGAATTTATCTATCCTTTTTCTAAATCAGTGTTTCATGTTTCAAGCGTGTTTGTTGCCGCAGGCGAAAATTAAACCAGCCCGCATTATTTTCCAGGATATTTCATAACTAGTTGCTAATACAGTGGTGATCAATTGCCCCAAAATCATTCACTCATGAAACTTTGTTATGGTAAGTTTAAGCACGTAGACCAGGTTACTTTAGTTTTATATCAAGAAGAGTCAATATGTTTAATTCGGTTCAACGCGTCAAGCTAAATTGCTTTGCTACAAATATTTAAGTTTGGGACCTGAAACGAGATTAGCTGAGATTAATTAACCTGGAAGCCACAATGTCATGTTAGATATATTTAAATTTTGCTATTATTAAACAACCAAAAGAGCTACTTTTCATTCTGTCCAGAATTGCGCTAAAACGCTACATTTCAATGAACTAAGAAGTTTTTTTTATTTAATTCAGAGGAATCATTTGTTTACATTCAAATTCAAACCCTCTCCGTGCTGTTCCTTTACATCGATCTTTACTTATTTGCACAATTCAGTTGAATAATTGTTCACCTGTTTAATTGCTGTGGTTCAAACATATCTACGATTTTTATCAAAATTGTCGCTTGCCTCAATTTTCTCCAATAATTTTTACGGAATCTCAGAGTCTGTGATAATTGAGCCCCTGCTCTAGTTTTCCTTATATAGGATTATTAATTTTCAATTTATTAACCTAGTTTCCGGTATGAGAACATTAATAAATTAATATGCTGCAAATGGTTTCAAGGCTTGAAGTAAATTGTGTTTATTACACACCGTTTTGTTCTATAAAGATGCGCCCGCTATGGATTTCCTGTAATGATGCTGTTCAGACAGATTCAAAGTGAAGCTGCCCAAAATATTAAAATATTTAAGGTTTAGTCAAAAATTATTTCGTAAAAATTAGCATTAGTCCGCGATTGTTTTTACAACAAAATGGAATAATCCATTGGGATTAGAAAATTCCAAACTTCTAAAATCCGATAATCCCCATTAAACTTGTAAAGCAACAAGTCCACAGTAAAATATTGAAAAATAATATTAAAACTCCACATCAAAGCAAAAGAGATAAATAGTTTGTTAACTGTGCTTAAAGACAGTTTAACTCACCTGGCTTGTAGCAAAAATATCCAAAGAAAGTAAATTTTTTAAGTAACTATTCCAAGCTTCATAATAATCTTAAACTAAAAGAAGCAACGCCCGCAAATAATAAATCTACTCTAACTAAATGGCGCTTAATTATTGAATCAAATCATTAATTCTCCATTCAGCTTATTTTGACCAAATTCAAAAGATATCCATTGGCATCTTCAAACAGGCGCTATCATTATTTTCGCGGAAACTAGATTAAATATCGATTAATTATCGGTAATTAAAATCCAATTAGGAATATTTGCTTCAAATGACATTGTAAGACCATAACCAGTTGATGCAGGATGTCAATATTTTTTATTCAGTTCTAATTTATTGGCGGATGAAGATTTTTCACACACGTAATAGTTCTGCTCACTTTGGAGGTTCGAACAATTAATGCACCGAATATCTCTGTTTAACCTAAAAATATTAATTGTCGACTTGGTCGGTCGTCATCGAAAATATACGTTAAACCAAATGAATGTTCAACGTTTACCTGAACCGGGGCCAACCCCCTTAACGCATTGCAAAGACCTCAGAAAACATCTGTTTTGTCGCAATAAGAGGAAGTAAAATCAACCGGTTTATTGCTTCTAGATACCTGAATTAAGACCCCAAACATATAAAATTCAGAGAGAAAATTTAGTCAGTTTCTTTCAGTCCAAACTTCCCCTTTAGAACAACATGATACAGCATTTCATTAACATTTGAAGAAACGGCTCTTAATAAAGTTAACCTACAACCCTAAATAATTTCCATCTTTATTAGAGTTTCCTGGGCAGTAAAAAAGCAATTTAAGTTGAAAGTCACTTTTAGGTGCTGGGAAATGGGGATTTGGGGAATAATATTAACTTCTCACAATTCTTTTGCGCTGATCAAATTACGGAATATTATTAAGTTTTATTGTCAAACCTCAATCCCATTAGCCGTTGCGCACAAATACATTATTCACCCGGAGGTAGTAAAGTTCCCTATTATCTAATTTGACTAATTTTCTCATTGGCTGCTAGTTTTCTAATAGGTCATTAACTCGACACTGAGTTTTTTGGAGGAAATTTACGTCAAATACTAATTGAGATTAGTTGAACTGTTCATCATTAATCTGGCCGAAAAACTTAGCGCCGATTCCAAAAATACTTGGGTTGTATTTCCATGACTGTGCGTGGGCCCATTCTACGGAACGATCGTAGAAATGTTTTGTTCAACTGTGCTGTGAATGTGAGCACCACCGAAATGTTATTTCCAAATTAATGAAGCGGAAACTGAGAAACAAACTGTTTTTTTTTAAGAATTCCATTATTGAGGTGTAGGCAACAATTGTATCTGAGAGCTTGATCGATTAGAACCCCTTGAAACGAAAGACAAATATAAGTTAAGTGCCCTAGTAAAACCTCGATCAATCAGCATCAAAGTGTATTGGTCTCGTAAGAATATTCGTTAAAAAAATAATTGGATCCGTTGTTAAATTAATAATAAAGCTGCAATTTTTAGAGTAATTTCCGTCTGGTTTCCTTTATAAACCGTGGCTTTGATCCGATCGTTCTACACCGCTAACTTTCTAAATACAACCCAGGCTATAGCTTTACAATTATCTTGTTCAATTCTTAGGAAGCTCTAGGATTCTTGCTCTTTTAGTTGAGCTGTATATTCGTCACAATTTTCCGGCTCCTCATAAATTATCGGAGAAACTTGGTTAGTACAAAATGTCCTGTTAGTTGACGAGTATTAAACTTGTAGAAGTATCTAAGAAAAAATAAGATGAAATGCAATTAGGAAATTACCCTGAAAGTATATTAAATTGCACTCTTTTCATCTGCTGAAAATGTGTGTTTAAAATATCAAATTATAATGACAAACTTCGAGCTGAAGTAAGTAGCATCGATTTTTATAATGCTCCGACTACTCTTTGTTGGAGAAGTTCCACTTTTTTCTGCCTCATCGCGACAAAGTGGGATTAAATTACTTTGAAGAGCTAATGGCTGATAATATGTTAATGCATAAAATGGAAAACCTTCTAATTAAAATTAGTCAAATGTTTACCGTTTCCTTTATAATACAAAATAATTATCGCTCCGCGTTTAATGCTAAAATCTCTATGGAAAAAAGCGCACTTTTATCTCATAATAAATTGCAACAATTGCACCAAACTACTAAATCTATTTGTAACTGAAATATGCTCAGTTAAAGGAGATAATTGAATGTATGAATAAAATTAGAGAGATGATGGCTATTGCATGTAAAATTATTTTTTAATTTTATTTATTGCCGCAGAAAGAACAGATTTAGATAAAGGTTCAAAATTTAACTCTAACTGAAAATTGCCCGGCATTTAATGGTAAAGCTCCATTCCAACTTCCAGAAGCTTCGCTCAACAACCCATGCCTTGTTAAAGGATGAAAATATGTGGACACAGAAGATTGTAATGTTATCATCCAAGTTTCAAAAACACGCAAAACAAATGAGCAAAATCATAAGGAATTAAATAGCAACTTTTTTTTCAATTTTCTAGGACAATTTCTCCAGCTAACACCTCTTTGTGCAATGGACAAATTTTGTTGCAGCTGAACAGAAACAGCAGTGATGAACCCCATATCGCCACCCGTTTAGAACTCTCATGATGGAGGACAATATAACACATTCCAACTACCTAGAGACGAATTACTCGGATACATGGATTGATGAATCATACAACGAAGATTACATATTCGATAAAACTTATATCAGAGTCATCTTCATTTGCCTGTACACGATTGTATTTTGTTTGTGCTTCTTCGGTAAGTTCGAAATCAGCATTATCGAGATTTTAAGTGAAAAATGAATGGAAGAGAAATTTCACGGGTACGGATCGTTTAGTTTTTGACCTGGGTTTATTGGAATTTTACGAAGCATAGAAAGGGTCCAGCTTAAAATCGAAATCGATTGTTATATATGAAATCGATGAGGAAACCGTCAAACTGCTTCGTTCCTCACTTTGGTTATTTTGGGAGAATGCTAGTTTTATTTAAAAATCATTTAGTTGACGCTTGCGAGAGTTGTTTGAAATTTGGTGTTAACTTTCACTTTCTTGAGTCAAATTCAAATATAATAAACATAAATAAATTAAAACAGATCGAGGGACCTTTTCTACTTGTTTCTTCGACATTGTTTTATAAATTTGATCATTGAAAAAGTTCAATTCAATTTCAAAGTAATTACAATAAATTGGGTGTTTTCCTTTTGTTTCTTGTCAAATTTCTAAAGTTTTAAAATCGGTGCAAAACAGTCAAACTGCTTCATTTTTAACTTCGGTTATTTTAGGAAAATGCACGTTTTATTTAAAACTCCCATAATGTATGCGAGTGTTTTTCTTAATTTGGTATTAAATCTCACTTTCTTGATTCAAATTAAAATATAAAATATAATTTCAACTCGAAAGATCCTTATTATTTAGGAACATATATCCTATTTGTTTTGGAAAAATTTAACTTTAGTTTTGAAAAATTCTATAATTTATGTTTGAGAATGTTTTTTTAATTTAGTATTAACTTTCACTTTCTTGACTTACATTCAAATCTAATAAATGAAAATAAATCGAAAGATCTTTTCTACTAGTTTCTTTGTCATTCTTTGAGAAATTTCATCATTGGAAAAATTCAATTCAATTCAAAATTAATTATAATAAATTGCGTGGTTTTTTTGTTTCGATTCGAATTTCTAAAGTTTTCAAAATCGTTAGGGAAACCGTCAAACCGGTTCGTTTTTTAGTTCGGTTATTCTGGGAAAATGCTAGTTTTATTTAAAAATCAATCCTCCTTGATTGAAATTTGAATATAAAATGTAATTTTATTCTAAAGGCCCTTTCCACTTGTTTCTTCGTTATTCTTTCAGAATTTTTTACATTTTTCTAAAGGATGTTGGAAAGTTTAAAGGAAAGCGAGTGGTAAAAGCATTTTAAAAGCTTAGCTTAGCCATTTTTTAATGCTTATGTTTCAATAGTTACTCAATTCTCCTCCTCAAAAATTGATTTAAAAAAATCTCAGTAAAAAAACGAAATAACTTTGCAACTTTTTTACCTGCACATTTTAAAATAAAATTAATTCAGTGAACTGTTTGTTTGGTTGGTAATCTCTTTGCGTGGATGTTTCAATCCAATTGATTTTCTACCACCTATTAATAATCAGACGGTTTTATCCGGAGTATTCACAAAAAGCGCGTAAACAATGCCCAAATGAATCATTACCGAAATCTCTTTGTAATTTGTCTGTCGCTGGTTTTTTGATCCCAACACTGGAAAGATCAAGTTGTTTCATTTAAAAATTGCGTAAAATTAGATTAATTACCTGCCCGAAACGCTTCCAAAATACATCACAGAGTCCAAGACTTTGACCATGTCGGTCAGGGTGTGTGGGAAAAATCCCTTTAAGTAACAAGCATATATTTCCTTAAGAAACCTTTTTTGTTTCACTATTGGATTAGTTTAGTTAGAATTCAATTTTTCTTCTATAATACTTTCCAAATTTTTCCAAGGATTTTTTCGCGGTTTCCATGAAAAATCATAAATATGCACTAAAGATGAGCAATGAACCTGTACCGACCCAAATTCAAACATCTTAACATTAACATTTTTTATATTAAAGGTCGCTATTTAGTAATAGTGATTCTATGGACTATCCGCATGTTTCTTCAGTGAAACCAAGTGAAGTGTCCTTTAAGGGAAAATAAAAAAGACCGCTAAACTCAGACAGACATCAACACGAATTAATGGAATTAAACATTTTCTTGAAAAAATGTCGAAATTAGTTAAAAAATTGATAAAATGAAAAATTAGGTGAATTGATCAGTCACATAACTAATTTATTTAAAGTATAATTTCCCTTTCAGATACATATTTCTCATTGACCTTTCCTTTCTAAAATAATTCATCAAATATTTTCTGTTCAGCTGAAAATTTCATTGTGGTGCTTGTGATTTATTGCAGTTTGTGAAAACAGTGGATGTTTCTACTTTTGGGGATCGAAAATTCCCTAATCTAACCTTATCTTCCGCCAGCGCATTTTGTGATATTTTGAAATAATCCAAGTGTTTTTTGCCAATCATATCACCCGATCCGTATCTCTTCCCTAATGTCAATAATAATAATAATGTACATTCTGTCGCTGTAGGATGGTTATAAATAAACCAAAAGCAAATAAAACTGTGTCCGATGTTTCCAAATTTCATTATACGAATTCAACGTCTCGTATCTCCTAAAGCATTAATCGGGATTCGTTTAATCCGGGCAGCTCCTGCAGGAAATGGGCAAACAAAGCAATTATCCAAGTATTGTTGCAATCGCTGTAACAGTTGTAAGAATTATATGAGTAAACTGCAGTTTTGAACTCGAACAAACCACATCAGTTCATTGATTATTCCATTACCCAAATGCATTATCCCAGCACGTATGTTTTGGTCTTCAGTCGATTATTCCCTCTACGCGATGGTCGGTCCGTACTTTCGTTAAACGGTTTCCATTTGTAGTCATAAAACAAATTGGAAATGGTGAAAAAATACAAGTTGTAATACCACAGTGGTCCGCACCTACACATCCCCAGAGTAATATATCAGATCTTCCTTCGGCAGGCTTTCTTTTTATCTTCCTGCTTATTAATCTTGGGTAAAGCAACTTTTCCTATGGAAATCTTTCGCCGAAAACATATTGCTTTGCCGTTTGGCATTTAGTGCAAAAAACACATTTTAGTTTTAGACAAAAAATTGCTTTCATCCTCTCAACAGTTGCCGCGCTGAAATCAAGGAAACCGCCTCCTTGAAATAATAACACTGATTTGTATTAAATCCTGCTCTCTAAACACTTATTGATTTATAAAACCCCTCTGTTCAAACAAATGTGAATTTTAAAAATGAGGTTTTTCCTGCAAAAAGACACCATTTTTTCAGTAGTTTTTGTTCCATTTCAGGAAACCTGCTGGTGATATTTGTGATATGTCTAAGCAGAAGATTGAAAACAACGACGAATTGTTTCCTAGCCAACTTGGCCGTCGCAGATGTTTGTGTGGCTGTGTTTTGCGTTTATCAAAACCTTCTGATCTACATTGTTGAAAAGTAAGGCACCCAATAAAGAATGTTTGCTTGATACTTTAAACACTTTTTACTACGATCAAACTGGCAAAATCTTGCTAATTTGGTCGCTAGTTTAAAATGAATTTCCTAAGTGTAAAGCTTAAAGGCAAAAGAAAAGCGCACATTGTGTGCGTAAATAACTTGCATAATTTGTGACCTATATAATCAAGTTCCACCCATCGCTCTGTAATTTCATTAAACATGTGCTAATTACCAAGTGCCTAAAACACATTTAACCCGATTCCGAACAGGGGTTTCTTACTTTGGCACGGAAAATTAACTCTTCTTCTAAGTGTTAGCAATCTATTACCTAATTACCTAAGAGCTGAGTTAAGTATTTTTCAGTTAACAGAATCATCGTCTTAATTTTCCCATTTACTGTTTTATAGTTGGATGTTCGGTGAATTCATGTGCAAAATGTACGTTTTTATTCAATCACTAAGCAACTCGGCCAGCATAGTGATCTTAGTTCTGATATGTACCGAAAGATATTTTGCTATCCTCTATCCGATCACTTGCAAGCAGATCCTGACCAATATCAGACTCAAGGTAAGGGAAATTAAAGCTTACGGGAAATTTTCAACAATTAAAAAAATGTATTTTAGTTTATTATTTTCACAGTCTGGACGTCCTGCGTTTTATATAGTTCCCCAAAGTTCTACTGGGGAAACACTGTTACAGTTACAACGGAAAACAGCAGCGAAACTGTCTGTGTTCTTAATAGGCAGAAATTTAACTCGAAACTGTTTGATATCATACATTTTGTACTTTTATACCTCATTCCACTGGCAATCATTTCGGTAAGTACGGAAACGAAAACACTTCAAACTCAAAAACGGTTTTGCTGTTCAGTCGCAATTTTTATTTCGTTTTTTTTCCAAGTTGGTTCCTTTTAGAAGCTCCATAAGAAAAGTATATTTTATGCATGTTCGACATTGTTATACAATTGGGCATAACAAAAAAGTAAACAGCATTTATCATACGCAATCAATAAAGTCTTGATGTTTCCAGATAGAGGTTTTATAGCCTAAATATAAGCAACTTTCGAATTGTTTAATTTGTATCACGTGCCTTACTAATAGTTTGCATCAGGATCATTAAATTACTCTAAAATATTGCTTGAACTTTGACAGCAAAAGTGCATCTGCCCGAGCTCAGATCTTAGAAAAATAAACTGATATAACTTGAAATTAAAACGTTGCGTGTAAGAAGAATTTTATCTTCTCTTTTAGAAATTTAAGCATTAATAAACTGAGCAGACTAAAAATGAACCTCCTGAATATCCCATGAAACCATTAACTTAGCAACTCTTTCCAGCTACTTTACACTAGAATAGCAATCTGTCTTTGGAACAGTTCGGAGCAGCTGAAGCTGCAACTGGACGCATCCACTAATCTAAATTACTATAAAACTTTATATCCGAAGAAGTCAAGGCGAGAGAAGCTAGACAAGCGAGTGAGTTATATGCAGGCCTGAGTAATGGGGTTTTGCTGACCCCTTTGATCCGGACTCTTCTAGGGCTCGACTGGGAACGGAAGTTTGCTTCAAAGATCCACCAATGGCAGCGCAAACAACGCACATTTAACGCAGAATGTTCTGAATGCTCGACGCGGAGTGATCAAGATGTTGATTATTGTTGTTTGTGCCTTTGCTTTGTGCAATTTGCCTTTCCATGCTAGGAAAATGTGGCAATATTGGTCTCCAAACTATCAAGGGCACACTAATTTTAGCGCGTTGTTAACACCACTTACGTTTTTATCCACGTACGTTAATTCGGGTGTTAATCCACTCTTGTATGCCTTTCTGTCGAAGAATTTTCGAAGGTAGGTTTTTGATGGTTTACATTAAGTACAACAAGTTTGCTTTAAATGAATTAATTTAATTTCCAGGGGAATTCGCGAATTGATTTTCTGCTCCCACAAGAAGAAACGCGACAAACGAGGCTTAAGTGACCGAAAATGCTGCACAAGGACAACATTTCGAACAAACATCACTGCTGTTCAGAATCCAAAGCCGAATAATTTCACGTACAATCTTTGATCCAGTTTGGACATTTTCGGGCAAATCTGACTGAAAATAACTCAGTTTCTGTATATTTTTTGTAAAAATGTACCATAAACAGTGTGTTAGTACTATATTGAAATGAGGTGGTAATTCGATTTTTTTATTTTACCTATTTTATCTACTCGTTTCTGAACAGAAGCGATATGGTCAGTTAAAAATTGAATGCTACGGTATAATTTTGGCTCACAAAGATTTAGTGTGTCTATTCCTGACTTCATTAGATTCCTCGCTTTCTTGCGATGGATAATTTGCCATTATTTGAAGCATTTTGAGTTTTTTTGAAAAAAATAGTTGTACATTACAATTACTTCGGCTAAAAATTAATTTTTACAAGGATGCTTTTTGAGCCCAGTGCACAGCTGTCGACCTAAAAAGCTCCTGAATATGTCGAGTGTGTGAGAACAAAATAAGAAATAAAAAGTCGATTAAAGATTTAACCATTTGAGAAAGAGCCAGACACTTTTTTGTTAAACTGTTTAAAGTATATCGTGTGTATTTCCGAGCTTGTTCCTCCTCACTCCTTGCTCCTCACTTCCTTGCGGTGAAAAGTTATAATGTTTGACGCATTTAAAGTAGCTTGACTTTGATAAAAAAAAGAGTAATCGGACGTACAGGTAAACAGTAAAGGAGACTATAACAATGGGTTATTTTCAGAGATTTAGAAAAATCTAATGCCTCTATTCCTGAGCTTATTGAATATTTTGGTACTGACTTCGGCATATAATAGTTTAAATAACAGTCAATACAATATAAAAAAAATATTCATATATCAAATAAACAAGTCTTAAAAATAACACGTATAAATACAATCAGGTACACAAAACTAAAAGGTAATACTTGATTTGTAGCTTAAACTATTAAATGCTCCGATATAAAAAATCCTTGCAATAACTAATGAAGACGAACAAGTTTAAATACATTCAACTACTAAATGATTAAGAAGTATATAGGCGCATTGAACATATACATTTTAAAATGCACTGTTCTTTCACAGATTATCTAATAGCCATACACGTTTACCATAAAAACAGGTATTATTTTTATATTTTGTAGTGAAATAAAATATTTTGTACAATAATGTCGTAAAACAACGATTTAGTTTCATACATTCTTTACAGCCTTTTATCTCATTTTACACCCTAAATGCTGCTAAATAGATATTCGGGCCTTTATAAAATAAGGCTCCAGAGTCTACCTTTGTACAAAAGTTTTCATATTGACTTATTAACTTATTTATAAATGGACAAATGACAATTCGCTTAACTTTATACAAAACTAAACTAAAGATTAATTTAATAAGTTGAGGTTTAAAGTTGTTTTAAAAGTGGAAAAAAATTGATAAACCAAGTGAAACTGGAGGAAGAATATTGAATTTAAGGCAAACAAACCAGGCGTGTTAATAAAGTCATTAGAGTGTGGTTTTTGAAACAACACATTTACATTTAAACTTATCCAATCAGCCGATCTACGCAGGTATTATGTTCTAATTAGTAAAATTTCCTTTGCATCTGTGGGAATTTATTCTTCACTGATGATGTGTTGGTCACCAAAACCATTACTAAAATTTACAATGAAAAGATCAAAGGAAAAATTCAATAAATCAAACATCATTTTAAAGAAGAGAATCAATTAAATTGTATCAAATGTTTCATTAGCTTCATTTCAAAGAGGGAAAGTAGATTCTTTAACATGAAATAAAAAAACCTCTGACCTTTCAGTATGTTTATTGATCATGGGAACACTTTCCACCATGGTAATTGAAGTTGGTCTGTCAGGTTTTTCACTAATATCACAGAGGCTAAAATGGTAAAATTATCTGAAAACTTTTGAGTGATTTGTGCAACGATGTCCTTACTCGACTTCCTTTTCTTCTGGCGATTGTGGTGGTCGGCGGCAACATTTCAACCATCTCAATTTATCCCTAAAAAAATTCAAAGAAAAATGTTGGGCAGGCAAACATTACAATTAAATAACAGCAGCAACCAAGCGTCACTGTACTGGATATTTGCATTTGTATCAAACAATCAACCTAAATTTTCTACGGAATTTTCCAATTTGCCCCTCAACTGGACACATTGATTAAAATCAGTGCCAGCCAAATAGAACGATCCCACGTATGCAGATTCATTATTTGATTTGCGCAAAAGTTGACTATATATTCCAATTAAAGCAAACTGATTGATTTGAAGCGAGCTACTTACGAAACATGGTAAACCCTTCCATACGTTCCTACCACAGTTAGGGAAGAAAATCCTCGCGATGAAGTGCAAGTGTTCCTCCGCAGTGAATCCCGAGGAAAATATTTGTTTTTGACTGCTGATTGTACCTGACAATATCATTTCTCAGTGTTTTAAATATTTGACTGACACCATTTCTTACCTCTCCATTGAGGAAACAGTATAAGACAGCAACGAAGAAGCCTTGGAATGTATTGAAGAAATAAGAGGTATACAACCACAATCTCAATTTCCATAGCTCAGTGTATTGATAGTCCAGTAAGAATAATATGTGTGCAGTTCCCATTAGTGGCAACAGAAAAATTGCCGCTCGAACTGCCTTTCTAAAAAATCATAGATATTGCAAGGAACATGTATGCAAAAAAGGCGTAAAAAGCGGTCAATTTGAGTTTTACCTAAGTTTTATAAACAATAAACACATTGAGAGTTAGTCAATGTGAATGTACATGGTGTTTAGTTTAAGTGTAACCTAAAGGAGATATTGACTCTTACAGTACAAAATGGTTATGATTTACAATCAGAAGGGTTTTATATTGTGCCCTTAGTAAAAGAGGTTCCAATGTGCGTTTTTTGGCTTTAAGAAGCTTTTAGTTTAAGCATACATGAATGGAGATTATGCCAACAATTTCAACAAACTGCTGAAAAAGACTTAAATTAAGTTAACATATTACTTAGATCTAGTTTTTTTAAATCAAGAGACCTATTTTCGACTTACTAAAGGTCTGAATTTGGTCATTTTGAAGAAAAAGAGACCTAGCTCAACGTATCGACTCTGAAACTGATTAAATTAAGCAGTTTGGACAGTTTTGAGAGATTTGGGTTTGTTGTATTTTTATTAAATTTCGGAATATATTGTTGGAATTATTTTTTACATACAAATATAAAACACACTTACCTGACTTGCTCGATGTCACTAGAGCGACTTTCTCTTAGTTTAACTACCAATACTCGAATAATATTAAGAAGGAACAAAAAATTAATCTGCAAAAAAAAGATAGCGCAATCAGAAATGTTGAAATATACAATAGTAACGGCGGTTTGTTTACATGAATTGTTGATGGCAATTTTTCAGCTTTCCCTAGTAGGTATGCTTTATCGATAGCAGGAAAATTCAACGTTACTTGAATCACTGTAAATATTTACGATATATATACAAATACACACTTTGCACTCATTTATTGCATTTGATCAAGGGAAAAAATGGCATGAAACTCTTTCAAATACCGTGCTGTACAACTGGAATAGTTGAAATTTGCCCGAAGAAACTTGCATGTATTCGAGCTGTGGAAAAAGTGGCATGTTTAATGCTGGGAGAAAAGCTTTTGAAAAGAATGCATGCATTTTACATTTTCGTGAGCGGCATCTTTTTTGCCTCGTCCGTCTTCTGCTTCAGGAACTTGAGAATGTTTGCAACATTTTAAACTGGGTCACAGGATTAGATAAAAGTTTGCTTGAACGCAAAGGAAAATAAAAATCAAACAATCAATCATCCAAGTTAAGAATTATGAAATAAACACTGACTGGTGAGAAGCATTCTTATGAAAATGTTTGAACTTTTCAAATTTACTTTACTTTTTATTATATTTACTATTTATTTAGTTAAATTAGGGCAGAACTTTTTCTCTCTATAATTGTAGATAAATGATCGATAACGCACTTTGTGGCCTAAATATCATAAGGCAAACGTTGATTAGGCAGACAAACACACAATAAATATATTAACTGGATAAAAATAGCATGATCCAGATGTTGAATATAATGTGCTAATCAATTTATTTCCGTTCGTTTGGGATTTAACATTCTCTTAATTCTTTGAGTATGTTTACAACCGTATGCTTTGCAAAAATTTTCCCAACTGAATAAATTTGATTTCGCTTAATTTTGTCTGTGCCAATTTCACGCCTCTTCGCGTAATGCACATGCTTTTCTCCTTTCAGCTTTCGCATTTTCAAATTTGCTGTATTTGAATATTTTCATTGAAACTTGTCAGAATGTAAGAAAACTATCTATAGTCATTGAGATCTATCTCCCACATATTTATAATACTTTCCAGTGTGTAAGTTCAGATAATTTGAATTCTGTTACAAAATTGGAAAACTTTTCACTTACCACTATGAGAAAAGACCGAGGTCCTTCCAGAATCCAATAATACGGCAGAAAGTAGTAATACTCCCATGTCCTGTAAAGTTCAAAAATTCAAAGTTCAGTTCGCCCGCATAAGTGGACGTAGAATGACATAGTTTGGAAATAAAATTGATATCCAGGTTTATTGAACTAGAAGATATCCAGAAATTTTATCTATGTCTATTTAATTCGGTAGGACTCAGTTTTCCTAGAAAAATATCACGTCCACTCGACAATACGATTTTAGATAAAATCGGCATATAATGGTGTTTTCCAATTCATTGCGGAAATGTTTAAGACGCATTTGGATACGTTTGGGTTTTCCGAGGATTGAAATGTGTAATAGATTTGCCAGAATATTTAACGTAAATCATCAAAATTGTTGAAATTTTTTGTATTTTTGTTGTATGTTTAAAATTTCGCGCTACTTACGTTTTTACATGTTCTATGATCATAACAGACAACCAAATGGCCGTCATTATGGCTGGGGTTACCCAACCACACCAAATATACAAGTTAATATACACATATTCTTGAAATACTGTCACTGTTATAACATTGTGAAGATACAGGCCTTCGATGAACATCCAACTGAACATCGCTGTTTTTGAATATTCCATTAGGACTGTACATACTTCATGCAGATAATACTAAAAAAATCCTAGGTTAGTCATGATTAAAATACTTGTTGAAAAACAAATTGTATCCGGAAAAATCAGTAATTTGTCATCTTGAGCATCAACACGTGATTAAATTTTTATTTCCATAGCCTTGAAATTTTTAAAAAATGTCCAAGACAATAACACTTAGTATGTCAGTTTACACCAAAGTTAAACAATGTAAAAGCTTTACGAAAACGATAAATGAGTTTTGTCGTTATGCCAAATTTTCTTTCTGAACTTTTTTTTATCAATTTTAAACAATTTTCTATGTAATAATGATTAATGTTGGCAATTCTCAGGCAACAATTTTGGATACATTTCTTTGAATAGGAAACTCTCAACTCGCACAGAAACCAAAAAAGGATTTTTAAAGGTTTGTTAAAAGTACATAGAATGAAGGAAGAATTTTAAATACATTGTACTTTTTATAGACAACTTTTGAGCTAAGAAAATAGGTTAATGAACAAGTGACTGTGATAAAATTTAAATGTTGTTCTCGCTGTTTAATTTTACTTACCGCATCTGATAGAAATTTGTTGTTCTCATCCAAGCCTTGATCGATATATTTAATCAATCGAAAAAGCACTTGGAACAAGGTAGCAAAAAATAGATTCTTGTGTATCTTCGTTCTGTTGTTTTTCAGTATTCTGCAAAAACATATTATGTATTACCATCAACTATGATAGGTATTTTTTCATCCTGTGCTCAGCAGACATTCTTCTAACTCCGATTAATGTTCAGTTTTACAGTTATAATTAATATCATCACAAAACCAGCTAAGAAATTGTGCGAAATTCGACAATGACTGAAAATTCAAATAAAACACAAATAATATTCTATCGCCAAACTTTAATTTCGAGCCAATTCAATGTTTATATGGATTTCGAAGGTTTAATAATGGAGGAAATCACACGACACTCTCTGACTGGGGCCTCATTAAAATGAAGCAAAATTGAAATTTAGCTTCGCTGAAATTGTTGGTAAAACTTTAATATCAACTAACGTGGCGTTAGAATTTCCAAGAAAACTGCGGATCTTTTCTTTACGATAATTGGAGCCGAGCCGAATTATTTTAGCTGAAATTGAAGTTACTAAGCAATTTCTTACCTGAATGAGAAAAATATGTACAAGGAAACAACTAAACATATCAGCGATAGTGAAAGGCCAACCATTTCTATAATTCTTGTATGTTTGGCAATCTGAAACAGAATAGAAGAGAAAATTAGAATCGTTTGAAAAACAATTGAGATATTTTCAGCTGCTGAACTGAAGGCACTAAATTTCGTCTGCGGCTACAATTTCGCTTTCCTTTTAGTGCCGATATATAACTACTTGAGTTTCCTTTTAGTCAAATACCTTTTTCGGATATAAAATGGCCACCAGGGGCTAAAATAAGACATACAAGTGAATTTAAAATTCGCGCCGATATTTTGCTGTAAACAAAAAACCGCCTACTACTTTCTAAGCGTATTGCATCGCTTAGAAATTATCTCAGTATGCCACTAAAAATGCATGATTTTTGTTGCAGTTTTTTTATTAATAGAAGAATTAAGGATACCGATTTACTTACCCCACCACATTCACCCTCCCCAAGGGCGCTACACATTTCGGTAAGTTGCTGAAGTTGGGGGATCAAACATGCTTCGTAATGGGTGAAATTTACTGGTTTACCTTCGCTGCCTCTTTTCACCTCCCAAGAACCGTTATTGGTGCAGAATTTGAATGCTAAAGCTGAAATCGAAGTGTTAATCAAAATGGATAAATATCAAATTAGTTTAAAAAAAACCTAATTTTAGAACTTACCATTTTCAAGGGTGCCTTTTACTTGCGGGCACGGCTGTGAGGCGTTTTGACCCGCATTTGTGACCGGCCAACACAACCAATCGTCGCATGTTTCCGCACAATTTACTGCAGAAGACAGAATTAGTGAAAATTTAAAAGAATAAGAAGAAGAGCAATTAATAACAGTAAATAACAAGTGAGCCTACATTTAGCTAGAAAACTACCAACATCTGCAATGTTCAAAAGATGCCCAAATTCTACGAAAAGTTCAGTGCTTTTGGCAAGATAAACGCACAAATGAATTCTGTTTTTTGCTTCAAACTCGAATTTCCTGTGTAAAAACATGCCTATTTATTTCCATTAACTCGTGACATTGGTTCGCTTTATATAAACCTAGCAGAACGCGCCTAATCGGGAAATATTCTAACACTCCCGGCAAAACTTTAATATATTCAATATTGTATATTTTATGTACACAGATGCGCTCCGGAAGCTCAATATTAAATTATCCAGATGCAGATTTTCTTGTGATATGATGAAAGTAAACTTGGCTCTCCATTTTTATCGATCTGCTGCACTTTCGCATTTTAAAAAATCCGAGTGCTAATGGAAAGTTTCCAAATAAAAAAAACTGTATCCCTTTGAAAAATTGCACCGAATTAGGACCAATGGAATATTCAGAATCCACAACAAAGCTTTTGACAAAACAACACCTTTCGTGCTGTTAGAATTACAGATCGACAGTGTCAAAGTCGATAAGCAAAAATTCTTGTTCATTTCATCAAAATTACCGTAGAATGTCCCCAAAGAAAAGGACAAACTCTACTCTGGATAACACGCGTAAAGTGGCCAGAGTAGTGTTTACGACCATTAAGAAAATCGGGTCGAGAGGCGCCACATTGAAGAATATTTACAATTATATCAAGAAAGAGTATCCACATTCGTTATCAAATATGATCAAGCTGAATAATACTCTGAAAAAGGCGCTAGCATTTGGAGCAGTGAACAAGAAGATGGGAAATAGGTGAGCGCATAACACTAAATACAATTTAAAATACATTTTAGAACTGAAATTGACCATTGCTTTGAAGGTATGTTCTCGGGAATGTGATTAAAGCGCTGGACAAGCCTTCTAGGCAAAATCGTGGAATAACTGAAGCTCGCAGAAGAAAGCGCAAAAGAGCTCAAAGCAGCAAAAGAAGAAAAGCTCGCCGACCAAAGCGTCGCTAAAATTATATCAATAAAATATGCTTTTTGGTTATCTAGGCTTTTGCCATTTACATTCCCATTTTTAATTGTTTTTTTCAATGTTCTCCCATAAGAAAATAAAACCTTTTCAGTATTTCTGATCCATTGCTTTTCATTTGTTTATTTTACTGAAATTGCTTCAGCTTTTCGCTTCAGTTGATCATTTTCAATGCTCCTCATAGTTAATTAAAACTCAATTCATTTAAAATCTGAAATCCAAAATAATCTCGCTTAATGAACAGCAAATAGTTGAACTATTCAAATTATAAATCGCACGCCTTTTTAATAACTGTGTAAATTTGATTTCAGTCCCGCCCCATAATATGCGCCTTTTATTATTTGCTAATTAACTTTAATCATTGCACCAACTTCTCTATAATTACGGTGGAAATTTGCGAATGTAAAGGCTTCAAATGAAAGGCTGATATTTGCTCTTGTAAGTCTACAAATAATTTTGCACAATTTTTTAAAATGCAAAAAAAGTTTTAAACATTACTTAGCACCATATATGAATCGCAAATTTGAAATCTATCAGCTTAAAGGGACTATCCGAGTTTGACTTTTCAAAGAAAATACTTTCAACTTTACAAATGAAGAGTTTTTTCGTAGTCCGTTAATTTATAAGTTCGAAAGGGATTTTTCTTAGCAGAACTGGCTCAACTGCCTTCAGACTAAAAAACTAAATTCCCCCCAGAAGCCTGTCACATCTCATCACATTAAACTAACTTAATTTTCATCATTAAACCGGCGATCGTTGGACACCACGGAAGTTTTGATTGTTTAAAGTTTAGTTGTTAAATTTCATCAACTGTAGATAAGACTAATATAAATTAAATCCGGAAATCTGCTCTTTTTACACTTTAATTACAAAATAAATCCTTGGAAAGTCTTCAAAATGAGGATCGGATGGTATCAAGCCACTTCTATCAATCTAATTGCAAATTAGCTGGGAGCTGTTTAGTCAAGTCTGAGCTCTTCCTGGTCTGGTTGATGCTTATTGGCACAATTTTATTCGTTTATGTGGCAAATGTTTATTGTGGCGAGAATGGAATTAGATCAATTTCCCAGTTGAAGTCACTTTTACTGGAGAGCTGTACCCAATTTTATGATCTGTTAATCAGATTGTTTTCCATCTCCTAAATAGTATTTCAATTAAAACTAATCAGATTTAATCACTTAGATTGAATTGGGCCGAAAAAAGCGAAATTTAGTTAGGCTGAACAATTTCCGGTCAGCTTTAATTAGCTTTCACTCCGTGATTATGCGGGTCGACTTACCTGTTAAATTGTCAGGTGAGAGCATTTTCTGTAACAGAAAAAAACAGGTTAATTAAGGACTAGAAAAACAGCAAACAAAGCATTTTGAAAATTTGCGACTATGATTTCCATTAGGAGAAACTGGATATTCATTCCCTCTCACGATTAGACGAGTTGCGCATGTGTTCTTTGCCCGTACCGAAAACTGATAGTAACATTTTCTTTATGGGCGAAAATTGCGTTTCATTCAATATATATTAGCGCGTTTTGTTTTTGAGATAATTCAATTTTTTTCTAAATCAAACGCAATTTATGCGCATTAACATGGACAAATTTTAGGCTCCTTTTTGCGTCATTCAAGCCCAATAATCCTCATATTACGCAAAATTGCTCAGATCTGATTGCTACTGCAAATATTACTACGTTGTTGGTACTGCAAATATTACTACGCACTAGAAGCTTAAAATATTTAATAGCAGCTTTACTTTGATTTTGTACCCAGTTTTATTCAAACCGATTGAATCGAATAGTCCATTACCTGTAAATATCCAATTAAAACCTATAATCTCTCCTGCATAATAAATAAAATATAATTTAATCTCATACTTTGCATATGAGGACGCATCATTAGGAATGAATTACATACTTACATTACGAATATGGTTCAGCCGTAAGGCGAAAGCGCTCATCGGACACAAAAGAAAGCAATTTAGCGCTATTATATATGAAGAAGGACTTTTTCACTTGGAATTATTACAGCCTTGGCCTTTAAACGATCTTGTATTTCTTAATGATCGTTTCATTTTATCGCCGATCTCAGGTGTGGAATACTTAACATATAATATAGGATTTTTGTGATTAGAGCTGTAAAAATGAATAAAATTTTCTTTTCAAATTGAGACGAAAAGTGGGTTTTTCATTACAGCAGCATTTCGGATTCCATATAGGTCAACGAGGTTTATCCAGCTTCAAGCCTCATCTCTAGTTTAGCGAGTAGTTTGTTATAAGGGGATTTATTGCAAATTCCCCAGATGTTAAGTAGATTTTAGGCCTAAGAGGTCAATTTGAATTTCCCTTTGTGGTTAGTTGAATTTTCGCCCATAATGCTTATAACAAATATGAATAAAATAATAATGAAGAAGCTTGAAAACTCCGCACATGTTGGCCGATGATGGTCAATCAAATTTAAAATGATAAAATTCCGGAATGGAACTATATTTATTTTTTAAATTGTTACACGTGCTTTCAGCGCGATTTTCCAACATCGATATTACAGCAAAATATTTGGAATTTTAAGTTTAGGACGTCATTTTGAATTTTCTCCTCTGGTAGCTCTGATACGAGCCAACGGTTCAATATAAATTCAATTTTTAATAAATTCATAACATAACAAGGTATGATTCACAATTTAATAATCTTATTGTTAGTTCCTAGAAGCACATTTGATTGAACTAATTTTTCTAGCCCTTTTAGTTTATTTATAAATAGTCTGTTCATCATTGGAAATTGTATCATTAGTGACTTTTCGCGTGAATTTTTGTAGGAAAAATTAGGTATTTTTGTGTGCATGTTTCTCAGTTAAATTTGCTGGACTTTGCTGCTTTAGATTCTCCATAAAATAGTTTTCAAGTTGTTTGTTCAAGTTGATTCTAAAGTTATTACCAATAGTGTTTTAAGAAGACAAGCACACAAATTGCTTCCACCGAGTTCAGAAAACAGTGTGATTTTATTATTTTTCTTTTCATGCTTTCCTGTGTTCTTACTTGGGAGAAAAGGAAACCTTGACATTGAATTGCAACATAATTAAATGCACTTTTTTCTGGATCACTAATTCAAATCTAATGTTCATTTAAATAATTAAACATTAATTACTGATCCCAATGTAATCGTGTTATTTCTAGATCGATAAATGATTTAACGCTTTGAAGAACTTCCAACTTAAAACATCCATAAACTTACTGTCTTTTAGTCTGTAGGAAGCTGACCTGCCAATTTTTTGTGTTAAAAAATATGATTTAAATCACGGCGAAGGAAAATAAATAGTTAATAAGCAACTTAAAATAAGGCGATTAAGAAAGACTAACTACACGATTTCATAATTTGCCAGTTCCAAGTGAAGCATAAAAAGGGGTTTCATAAATATTCATCAAGCTCTATACACACAATAAGTGTGACTTTAATCTCTCACTGAAAGGTTTGTTAAAATAAATATGATGAAATTTGGTTAATTTAACTTAAGTATAAGTAACAATTTATCAATCAAAAATAACATTAATAATTACTCACTTGCTCCAGTTATTGTTTATGAATTTGTCAACTATAAGTCTAAATATCTAAATCCCTATTAATACAAGCTTAGTCATTTGCTTTAAATACATTTTATACACTTTAAAGTATATGCGGAGCAAATAAATTTGAAAAAAAATGATCTAATCTTCAAATGTTGTTAAGTTTTTTAAAAGCTCAAATTCGGAGCAAAATTTTACGTTTCTTTGGGTTGGTTTGGTTTAGTTTAGATCAACTTTTTAAGACTTTTTAACAAGAGTTTTAACACCTTTTACAGCATAAATACGCCAGTTAGATCATTAATCAATTGAATTCCGACCACAATAAATCAACTACTAATTACGATTTTCCAGATTACCATGCATTAGATGATTAATAATTTTATGAAAAAATCCATAGAAATAATATTCATGAATCAGCAAGTCGTAAAAAACAAACGAAAAGTCTGGCATTCTATTGAAGCACCAATTTATGCCATGAAACCGAACAATTCGTTATTTATCTTTTAATTAACACACGATGGAAACTAATAAGGCTAAAGTCAGCCTTGAACTATTTCATTTACGATTGGGGCATTCTTGGAATAATCGCGATATGAGCAAATGCGAAAATATTAATTATAGAGATTATTTTATTTTTTTATTCAACCTGGACATCGTTTGCTACCGCTGGATTTAATATGGCATCTTTATTAGAGGGAAATTTTCTGGTTTTTTCGAGCTGTTTTTTTTATGCGATTGTTTTTCGTATTCTCAATTTAGTTCAACTAAAGAATTTAATGGTGATGGATGATTGTGAGATGCTCTTATGAACCCATTCGACTCTGAATCTATATTGGTCATTTTCGATACTTTTTCTATTCTTTACTATTTTTCCATGAATTTAAAATTGCTTTTACGTTGAACTGAAGCTGGTTTCAGCCCCTTTGCGCGTTTTACCAACTCGTATTTTCCCTTGAGGCACTGCTGTTCTTGCGTTACTGAAAGCGTACTTTTCTGGTGAATGTGTGAAACTCCCAGGATAGTATTTGATGACGAACATTACATCTTTTTCAAAACCATAAAAAATATGCAGTAGTAGTATAAGCAAATATTTACATATAGGTATCTGGCTAAGTATTATCCAATTTTCAAATTTTAAAGAGAATGGTTTTTCTGCTATTTCAGAAACTAAATCAAAATATTGCACTTCAATGTCTATCTAGTGGAATGTTTTTCACAATATTTGTCTCAAATAAAAAAATTACTCAAGTGAGTTAGTTAACTGGAAAGTTTTTTAGGCTTTTGGGTCGTCGAAGAAAAACTTTTCCCTCTTTTCGTCTAAAAAACTCAAAAGTTTCAAGATGGGAACCGTTTGGGCTGAACCTCGTCGCTTAATATACACCAAAAGACTGCAACCTTCAATCCATCAGAAATGTTTCAGCTTTATAAATGCTCATGAACCATCTAATAATTACCCAGATAAATATTAGCTGAACTCCACATTTTCAGACCTCAACTGCTTTATTTAAAAAAAAGAACTGATGAGAACACCAGACGAATCGACAACTGATAAAGAGTTATTACATTTCCCAGACATCTAAGCCATTATTAATCCATCAAAGCATTTTAACGATGATTGCTACACGTAAGTTTGACACAGACGAAATAGGACCCAGCAGGCAGATTAAAAAAACATGTAAAATCATTTCAAACTCTTGATGTGGATGGAAATTTGAAAAAAACAACCACAAAGGATCGGAAGGAGATTAGATAAATCTACTATGTAGTGATTAGCCATTGACATTGTTTTATTTCACTATAACTGGGAATAAATCACCTTATGCGATCGTCGCATTGAATAAATACTTAAAATCAATGATTCAGCTCCAATTTAGCCAATAATGAACTCGAACGCTACCGTCCTAATACCAAATAATCCCGGTTGAAGCATTCATGCCACTATTCCATATGTGGCGAGCTGGAGCTTAACAACAATTTATTATTTATTGCACTACCTTCAAGCATGCCTGATTATAAAAATTGGGAGTACCACTTGGGAGAACATCGCAACAATTAATCTTTCTGTCTAAGACAATCTATTATCAGCACCAAACCAATAATCTAGTGTTAGTGGCCTTTGTTCAACATCGATATCTTTAATTTATTACTATTATAAAAATCACATGGAACATTAACGACAGGCGAACGGTAAATAAAAGCATTTGAACAAAAACAATTGATAATGGTTGAATTTACAGAAATATTAAATGTGGCGTTTTAGACGTCTACTGTGCCTAGAGGTTGATCGCCCTCCGGCTACATAAAGCATCGTGTCATGCGGATGATATCGGCATTGTTGTACAAGGAGTTTGAAGAGACACTGTATCACTATATGACCAAAAAGGGCAGAAAATTAAACCATCGAAAACATTTATCGACCTTTTTACTTAAAGCTTTTAGGAAAATGTCTAGCTATGAAATTAGAGACTAAGATATTCTCTAAATTATTTTTATTTTTTTTTTTTAAGTAATCACTGGCATTTTTTTGGAAAGCGAAACCAACATTATGGGAGTCTGCAAATATCCGTTAGTCAACGTGTTGAAAGTAAACGTTCACAGATTGAGGTGTTGTTTATTATGTGCTACTTTCTTAACATTTTGCGTAAAATCTGTAAAATTTGCAGTTTTTCACATATTTGACAAAATGATTTAGAAGCAAGTGGATTTGGAGAATAGCTAGACTTAATTGGATAATAATCATCAAAGTCAAGACAAATCAAAT